ATATATATATTTGAATATTATATATACATTTGAATATCTATCATCTATTATGTGTACACATGATATTTATTTATTCTTTTTATACGTAGCCCTCTGGATCGATGACCACAACGGCGAAAAGCAAAAATATTCGAGGCCCAAAAAACCCATTGGAGGGGCGCTACATAATATCGGAATTTAATATCGAGACAAGCGAACTACTTGGTCCACATGCAAGGAAATTCATGCAACACTGTGGGTACCTTGTAAGGGATAGACTTTCGATCAGTGCCCGTGAATGGAAGCAAAAGATCAACGAGCCTCATGTTAGTTTTGTCTCTGATCTTGATAAGAATTTAATTTAGGATGATATCCTTCAACATTTCACGTTGCAAGCGGATGATTATGATGATATCAACGATGATGAATTGAAGGAGCTAGTTCGAAAGTGGGCTATGAAGAAGATGGCCACACAATTCCAGACTTGGAAGAAATCCCTATACACGAAATACGTCAAGAAGAACCTATCATCCAATTTCAATACTAGAGGCCCGCTCACGAAGTTGAGGCCCTACTGAAATAATTTTGTACAGTACAAGACATCGGAAGAGGGTGAGGAACGGGTGAGAAGGAACCAAGATAATGTCCGACAGAAGGTATACCTCCATGGTATGGGATCAGGTGGCTACGCGACTGCCATTCCCAAGTGGGAAAAATAGAAGCGAACATTCTTACCAAGGGTATCACACCAGAATCACTCAATTGGCCCAAACGCGCGAAGAATTGATTTTTTGCTCATGGGAGAAGACTGGACCTAGAGATCGGGAAGCTGGTTCATGGCCCAAAACTCGAAAGAGCAATACAAAGATTTTCTTATGCTCTACAAGCTAAAGCTATTGGTGCGTTCAGGCCCAATAGAGAGAAGGATGAACTGACGTATGCCATCGGGACTGCTGAACACAGTGGCCGAACGAGAGGTTTAGGACGGAACATTTCTTGGGAGCATGGTTTCTCTAACGACAGAGATACCTACAGAAGCCGACAGAGAAGGAAGGATGAGGAAGTAGCGCGGATCAGCAGGTTGGAGGAATATGTTCGTGAATCACAGGAGGCGTTGCTTCAAGCACAGGAGCGCGAAAAAGACATGCAAGCTAGAATGTAGGACGAAATCATAAAGCAAGTGCAAATAGTAATGAGTGCCCAAAGGCAGGCATCAGATCCAGGAATCATCATTAATATTAGCCCCTGATCAGTTGAAAAGCAGCTGCGCTTCCACGGAGTTACCAAATCAAGATGATGCAATGCTACGTTTCCCCATGGATGACATCACTGCACCGTTTACATCATGTGAGCTACATATTCCAAAAGGGAATGCCACAATCATGGTGGCTCTCGGTGTTTTTTCTCCTCCAGATCCTACCAAGACACCAAGAATCCATGGGGCAATAATACCACCTGGATATGTTAGGGTCTCAGTGGATAGAGTTAACAAAGGTTTTAGTGATCTGACTCTTGACATTCCAGGAGGTGATGGCGAGAAGACTCTAGGAGAAGCAGAGAAGACATTCATACTATGGCGCAAGCGCTATATCATTATTCCCGGGGTCTCTAGTCCACCGCCGCTTCCTCAACTACCAGACAATAGGTGCAGACAAAAGTGAACGAAACAATTTTTCACTAATTTTCTATTGACATGCATGATTAATAATAACAATTTCTTATACCTAATTATTCTTTTTGTACTCACACAGCAGGGCCTCCGCCAATCTAAGTCCAATTATTCAATCTCTAGATCATCATAGTGCTCTGCACAATGATTATGCAACGCCGCCACCGCCGCCACCTCCAAGGAGGTCTCCAACGCCTCCAAGGAGGTCTCCAACGGCTGCCCCGCCTCCCTTGATGACCAAGAAGCAGCCAGCTCCTAAGAGGTCCGCCTCGCAAATGAAGCCGTTGGCCCACCAGCCGGTAAAGAAGAAAGCCTCCTCTAATCCAGTTATTCCCCAAAAACTGTCTTACGAGAAAAGTGAAAAGGAATTAAATGCTGCAATACAAAAAGATGTGAACAGTTTTCTTCGAAAAAGTAAGAAAACAACGAGAAGCGAGCGAGAACCCAGAGAAACTGTACTTCTACCTACCTCTAGATCTTCTAAGAAAGAAGGTAGACCAGAAAAAGCAGGAATCTCAAAAGACCCTGCCAAAATCGGACTACAACCGCTCTCTCACCACATCATTTGAGGTGGCGCAGAAAAAGACTAGAGCAGAGAAAGGTGTTGCACAACTCGGACAACAATCGCAACAATCAGTCCCCTCTCTTGTCATTCATAATGAATATCGTTCAAACTTAGATTTGCTGGACGTCGATTTTGAGGACCTGGTTCGGTTTTATGAGGATACTGGTTTGGACCTTGCCCAAGTGCTCGCTGAAGAACTATCTACTCTGAAAGTGGATCCTTAGAAGAAATTTGAACATGGAAAGAGTCTATACAACCCTGAGGTCTTAGGTGAACTAGGTACGCAAATGTACCTGCTAAACAAGTGGTACATGGCGGCATGTGAACGGGGAGAGACCTTTGTTTCTGTCAGAGTTAGAAACCAACATTACTTCCGTGGCGATGACGTTATATATATCGAGTTTTTAGAATTACACCAACTATGCAACCTGGACTCTCTCGACAAAAGTCTCATTAGCTGCTATTGTCTGTAAGTGTGATTATTTTCTACCGTTAAAGTGTATATATATAAAGCTACATGTATATATATAAATTATATATCCTCACACTATATTTTTATATATGCAGATATGAGATGACAGAACTCAGAAAGAGAAAGGATAATGATGTTGGTTTCGTTGATCTAAATGTCGTATTCAAACAACCTAATCCCCCACCTTAATGGAAAGCTAAACTCGAGAAAAAACTCATGAGATTCTTAGTGAACCAACAAAACAAGGACATACTCTTCCCCTAAATAATTAATGTCGATCATATGGATATTTGTTCAATTATTTGCTTACTAGCTAAGCTATCTCTCGTATATATATATGTTGACTCTAGTTAATGTCGATCATATTTGTGTATAAAAATATATGCAACAATCACTGGATATTGATGGTCATCGATATGGCCAATAGTCGGTTGAGCATCTTAGACTCATTAAGAAAAGAGCAAATAGAGTACCAAGACATGATAGATATTATCCCAAGGTAATTTGGTCTCTCTAGTAACTATATATATCTCGATCTCTTAACTGCAATAATTATTAAAGGCTAAATTAATTTTTTATTTTATTAGGCGCAGTGTTTGAAAAAGTTTCATTGAGGAACACCACATGAAACATTGCAAAACGCCACTGGATGTAATCGCACACAAAGTAAGTACTAGCTACATTTATATATATATATATATAATTCAATTGACACCATGCATGCTTTCAATTTACCGGATCTTTTCTCTCGTAAAAGTGGGTTCTGAGCAAGAACAGGGGACCAACTACTGCGGATACTATGTTTGCAAGTTCACCATGGCGTACTAAAAAAAAACTCCTGAAGAGATCATCAAAGTACGTTATATAAATATATTCATATATTCACAATTTCTTTTATTGCTCATATATATAAGTAATCACGTGACCAACACACACATATATATATATATATTAATATTTTTTCTTTAACTTTTATTGAATACTCTATGGTTGAAGGAAAAAGTCATAAGACGTGACCAACTGAAAGCAATTCAAGAGTCCATAGCAGGATTTCTTAATGACCAGGTCTTAAACCCCGCCGACGAGTTCTACAATGACATGAACGAAACATGGATGCCAAACCAGATGGAGTGAATTTGTTATCCCAAGGATATGATTGAATATACAATGCAATCTTTATTTATAATATATATATGTACATATTATATGTATATAAAATAACGTACAATATATGTATATGCATGTAATATATACGTTAGTTTCATACTTTAGTTTGTACAAAATGTTTGAACATTATAAATGTGTAGAATACGTATATTATTAGCAGCGTAGAATGCGTATTCGAAAACCAAAACGAATTATCAATTGAAAATAGAAACAAAAAAAGAAAAAAAAGAAAACCTTTAGTCCTGGTTGGTAATACCAACCGGGACTAAAGAGCCGGCCCACGTGGCCAGACCGGGAGGCCTCTTTAGCCTCGGTTGGTATTACCAACCGGGACCTTAGTCTCGGGCGAGAAACCGGGTCTAAAGGAGAGACCCTTTAGTCCTGGATTCGTGCTCCTAGTTGAGAAATCAGGACTGAAGGGGTTTTCCAACCGGGAGTATAGCTTATTTCTGTACTGGTGATGATATGTATGTTTGTTTCAGATGAACATGTAAAATTGCTACTACTACTTTGACGAAGCAACTATATGTCATGAGAGATTACACTTCTTGTAAGAGGACATCCATAGGAGACGATACTTAGCAGCCACGAACAGTTATGTTCCATGACAATGATGGTGGAGATGTGGAGTCCTCAATCGTCTTATACTCTTATATGCATTTGAGTCTTCCTTTTGGTTGGAGTTGGATGGATCTTCATCCACCATTTCGTCACAACATAGGAGACGATACTTAGCAGCCACGAACAGTTATGTTCCATTGGCAGTCTGTCCAAGCCGGAGCTTCCACTGAGGCGTTTGCCATTGAAACTAGCTCATTGAACTTCGCATGGCTGACTTTTAGAGCTCGATCGTGCATAAAAAAAACAATTCATGCTATGTATATTTGTTTCAGATGAACAGACAAAAAATTGCTGCTACTACTACTTAATTACCACTAACACGGATACACCGATATTAACCATTGTTTATGAAGCTCCATACATATAAACCGGAAAAATGTCAACACCTAATTAAATCATACTGACCCACTTTTGTACTAAAATGGCATCGTTATAAGCATCATAAATTACTGAGTTCCCTACAAGCTGCAGGGCCTGATGGTCACCAGCCTACAAGCCGGCTAATGTGGAGGATCCCAGCCTCAGCCTCACTCTCCGGGAACGGGGACTTTGGCCTCGGACGGCGGCGGCGGCGGCGGTGTCTTCTTCGCCTGATCGGGCGCGGGCACCATCCAGTTCTCCACCTTGAACAATGCCGTCGTCGAGCTCCCTTTCGCTGCCACTGACCTTGGATGCTGGCTGCCGCTGTACGCGTCGTCCATGTCCCCGCTAGAGATGGTGAACCCGATGGTCGCCGCCGGCGGCGGCGGCACTGTCGTGATCTCTATGACCGGCTTCTTATTGGCGTTCTGGTCCATCTGGTAACTCGGCAGGAAGCTTCCCACCACGACCTGCCACAACGGCAAGGGCACCTCAGGTTTTTGCACATTGCAAATCAACAAAGATTTGTTGTGTCATGATAATAATGGACTAGTGACTACTAGTCAATAATGTAATTAACCACAAATTTTCATTTCTGTGGTTCAACAATGGGTTCACGTACCTGGACAGGGCTAGCAGCCACGAGGAGGCCGGCGACTCCGCCTCCAATGACACGGCCGTTGGCGGCTGCTAAGGAGACGCTCATCCCACCGGAGCGGCTTCTGGTGCCACCGCTATCAGTGGGAGTGAAAGATCCAGACAAGGAGAGCAGCTCGAACCGGCCCTGAATTAACAGGATGTATGTCAGTTAAAAATATCACTACAGAAAATGAAATAGCACTTGCTTTCAGAGATCCAAGGATTCACAATATTTTGTCTAAACAACAGACACGCATTCTCTCAAACAGAAGTTGAAGGTCGTCACAAGAGTCCAACATGTGTAATTACTATTCGTCTACCATGTAAATGAACACACAAAGAACTATCAAACAACAGGCCAGCTGGGCACATCCTTTTCCTACTTCTCAACACTTAATGTAACAACTAACAACACACGACTTGTCTATATGTGTATAGTTCTACATATATATAGTTTCTCTGCAGCTTCTTCATGGTGGGATACTGGGATGCTACTAGTTTCCATGCGTTTACCTTTTTCTCAGAAAGAGTGGAAAGGTTCTGAACATAATTGGCCTAGTCACACAAGTCAACACACTCTGCTGGCAGCATTTCTACTAGGCTGCAACTGCAATAGTCACCTTTCAGATTCAGAATTTCTCTTTGAGGCGCCTATTCAAACATGAGTTGCTAGACATTCAAAGGATTAAATGTACTAAATTTAGTTTTGTGATATGCAATTTGACATTCCGTTGGGGCACGACACAGAGTGAACTAGAAACTTTTAGTATATTTCCGCTGTTAGCATTTCTCCTAATAGGAATAGCAAAGCCATGACTGAACTATCTGCATACCATATAACAACACACATACAACTATATACAAGAACATCAAGCAACAGGCTAGCTAGGCACATCTTTTTCCTAAGACAATACACTAACATGTAACAACACATGACTGATGCAATATCTATAATTGTATACATGCATATAGTTTCTCTGCAGCTTCTCAATGGCGGGATGGTACTAGTTTCCATTGAGTTTCCATCCATTTACCTTTCATAACAACAAGTGGAAAGGTCCTGATTATGATTTGGTCTAGTCACGTAAGTCAAACCATACGAATATTCTATAACAATATATATATGGTCATGGTGTGATTTGCAATTTGACCTTCATCTTTAATTTGCGCTCGCTCTCAATATGAGGGCAGCATTTCTACCGGGCCACGATAGCCAACTTCTTTGAAGAATTGCTATCAGATAGCTTATTCAAACATCAGTTGCTAGACATTCAGAGGTTAATTGCTTATTAAATTTAGTTTTGTGATGATATGCAATTTGGCATTTCATTGGGGTATAACACAAGAGTAAACCACAACCTCAGCTTGTAGAATTTTGCTGCTATTAGCATTTCTCCTACTAGCAAACCCATGGTTGTGTTATGTGTATGAAGGTCCTGTTAGATAATCTACTGCTTTCTTATGTGAACACACGGCAGGAGAAGGCGGTGCCGAAAAGGCACCCTGCAGTGATACTGTAGCCATTGCAGGGGCATGCGCCGAACGGCTCACCTACCACACTGTAGGCACAGCAGGAGCAGGTGCCAGAGTCAGCCCTGCTGTCCCATCTAGTCACTGTAGCAACATGGCAGCTGTACTAGGACTAGATGGATAGAGTTGTATATATAGTTTGCCACTGCAACTCAGTAAAGAGAGAGTTCAGATTTGCCATCTCCTATATAGAGCTTCAGCCAATGCTGGTGTCTCTGCTCTATGTGTGTATGCTCTGTTCTCCCTCCCTTCTTCTACCTCTAGCCATAAGTGTGTGGTCGGACAGCGTTTGTCATGATCGGCAAGACTGGTGAGTGGTCGACTCACCTGAGCCGGTGATCCTGTGGGCCAACAAGTGGTATCAAAGCCGTACAACCGCCATCACTGGACTAACGGCTGGCGATGACGGACAGTTTGGAGATGGGCGACAGCAGTGGCACTGCTGTGGCTTCCCAGCCACGACAGGAGGTCGTTGTTCGCACGGTGCGGGAGGTCAGCGGCACCAATTGGCCGACGCTGACTCGCACAAACTATGGAGAGTGGTCGGTGACCATGAAGGTCAAGCTCAGAGCCCGATGGCTCTGGAATGCTATTGACAATGGCACCGACAATGAAGAAGATGACATGTCAGCGTTGGAGGCTATCCTCGCTGCCGTACCGACGGAGTACAGGGAGCCATTGGGGGCGAAGAGCTCTGCTAAGGAGGCGTGGGAGGCTATTACGGCGATGCGCGACGGTTCCTACCGCGCAAAGAAGGCGACGGCCCAGCTTCTGAAGCAGGAGTACGCCAACCTCAAGTTCAAGGATGGTGAATCGGTGGAGGATTTCTCCCTCCGCCTGTAGATGCTCATCAGCAAGCTGAAGAGCCACGACGTCACCATCGACGAAGAGGAGACGGTCTCCAAGTACCTCCACTCCATGCCGGCAAAGTACATCCAGATCGCTCTCTCCATAGAGACGATGCCGGATTTGTCCACCCTCACTATTGAGGATATGACAGGCCATCTGCGGGCGGTGGATGAGCGCCTAGAGCAAGCGACAGCAACGAAGGACAGCGGCAAACTGTTGTTGACAGAGGAGGAGTGGGTTGCTCAAAGAAACTCCAGGGTAGCCTCCTACAGCCGTGGTGCGATGGCAAGCGCCGCAGCAAGGCTTCTTCGAAGAAGAAGAAGTAGGTCGACCCCAACGCCTGCTGGCGCTGTGGGAAGACGGGTCATTGGACAAGGGAGTGCCCAAATCGCAAGTAGAAGAAGAAGGCTGAGGCCCATCTAGCGCAAGCTGACGATGATGATGAGGCCACTATCCTGATGACGACGTTTTGTGCACTGCACGACGTCGAGGCCGAGGAGAAGGGAGAGGTGATGACGGTGAAAGGGTCTGGGAAGACCCTGAAGGCTGTCAACCTCGACGAACCGTGCGCCCAAGTCCACCTCGGACGTATGGGCGGCGAGCAGTAGTGGTGGTACCTAGACTCTAGCGCCAGCAACCACATGACGGGCTCCAAGGCAGCCTTCTCCGAGCTCGACGACGATGTTACCGGTACGGTGAAGTTTGGTGATGGCTCAAGGGCGCGGCACCATCATCTTCAGGTGCCAGAACGGCGAGCACCACGCGCTAACGGATGTATATTACATCACGCAGCTGCGTTTCAGCATCATCAGCATTGGCCAGCTGGATGAGCGCGGTAGCGAGGTATTGATCAAGGACGGAGTCCTCAGGATTAGGGACCAGGAACAACGACTTCTTGCCAAGGTGAAGAGGTCCCAGAACCAGTTGTACCTGCTCGACCTGAAGGTAGAGCAGCCGGTGTGCCTGGCGACAAGGCACACCGAGGAGCTGTGGCTGTGGCATGCTTGATTCGGCGATCTCAATTTCGACACGCTTGGTCGGCTGGACAAGATGGTCCGAGGGCTGCCTCACATCGAGCACAGAGGCGAGCTATGTGACAGCTGCCTGGCCGGGAAGCAGAGGAGGCTGCCGTTCCCAAAGGCGGCCAAGTATCGCGCGGCGAACGCTCTCGAGCTCATCCACGACGATCTCTACGGGCCAATCACGCCAGCCACAAATGGTGGTCGTCGGTACTTCCTCCTGCTCGTGGATGATTGCAGTCGCTACATGTGGCTGCAACTCCTGATGAGTAAGGACGAAGCGGCGGCAGCGATCAAGAAGTTCAAGATGCGCGTAGAGGCCGAGAGTGGCAAGAAGCTGCGCGTGCTGAGGACAGATTGCGGTGGCGAATTCACTTCGGTAGAGTTCGCTGCGTACTGCGTGGATCAGGGTGTGGTGCGACACCACACCGTGCCGTACTCGCCACAGTAGAATGGCGTGGTGGAGCGGCAAAACTAGACGGTGGTCGGCATGGCTGGATCCATGATGAAGGCCAAGGCAATGCCGGCAAGGTTCTGGGGTGAGGCGGTGAGCACGGCGGTGTTCATCCTTAACCGCTCACCCACCAAGGCCCTGAAGGGCAAGACGTCGTTTGAGGCTTGGCATGGACGCAAGCCGAGTGTGTCCTTCCTCCAGACATTCGGCTGCATCGGGCACGTTAGGAAGACGAAGCTGGTCCTGACCAAGCTAGAGGACAGGAGCACACTGATGGTGTTCCTGGGCTACGCGGAGGGTACCAAGGCGTACCGGCTCTACGACCCACGTGGAGACAAGGTGCTTGTCTTGCGCGACGTCGTGTTCGACGAGAAGGCGACCTAGGACTAGAACAGTTCGAGCACAGGGGAAGTTGGTGGCTTCACCAGCACCTTCATCATCGAGCATTTGGTCATCCACGATGGTGGAGACGCTAGGGAAGAGGTGCCGAGCACTCCAAGAGTGGAGTCGGGTGGTCCTGCAGTGGTGACGACCACTTCAGGACGGGTGCTGAACACTTCCGTAGCGGAGCTGAGGGCACTGCAAGATAGGTGCCGAGCACTTCGGGAAGAGTGCAGACAACTCTAGGAGTGGTGATGAGCGATCCAGGAGTAGTGCCGAGCACTGCAGCTAGGGTGCCGAGCACTCCAGGTGCTGTGCCGAGCACTCCAACGAAATAGGGAACTCCATCAACACTGATCAAGTTCGTCCACCTCTAAGTGACATCACTGAGTTTGTGGATGCCTTCCACGAAGGTGAGGAGGTGCGGTTCCATAAACTAGACGACATCGTCGGCGGCACAGGGCCCTCAGGCCTAGCGCGTAGGCTACTCAACAACCCAGAGCTGCTGCTCATTAGTGCAGAGGAACCACCCACGTTCGCACTGGCCGAGCGCGATAGAAATTGGCGATGGGCGATGCTGGAGGAAATGAAGGCGATCGAGGAAAACGAGACTTGGCATCTCGTCGATCCACCTCCAGGATGCCGTCCGATTAGCCTAAAGTGGGTGTACAAAGTCAAGCAGGACGAGCACGGCGCCATTGTCAAGCACAAGGCGCGTCTCGTCGCCCGAGGCTTTATCCAGCGCGAGGGCATCGACTTCGAGAAAGTCTTTACGCCAGTAGCGCGCATGGAGTCTATCCGTTTGCTACTAGCCTTGGCAGCAGCGAAGGACTGGCACGTCTATCATCTGGAGGTAAAATCAGTCTTCCTTAACGGCGAGCTGGCGGAGATGGTCTTTGTCAGGCAACCTCCAGGTTTTGCCATCAAGGGAGCAGAGCACAGGGTGCTCCGACTGCGCAAGGCGCTCTACGGGCTGTGGCAAGCCCCACGAGCGTGGAACGCCAAGCTTGACGCCACGCTGGGCGAGCTTGGGTTCACGAGGTGTACAACCGAGCACGCGCTCTACACGTGGCGACGGGGGAAGGAAGAGCTCGTCGTCGGCGTGTATGTGGATGACTTGATCGTCACCGGCGCGCGTGCGGAGGACATCGACAGCTTCAAGCACGAGATGGCGACTAGTTTTCGAATGAGCGATCTCGGTGCGCTCTCCTACTACCTCGGCATTGAGGTAAGACAGGGGAAGGAGGCACTCACGCTCGGTCAGAGCGTGTACACCTCGAAGCTATTGGAGCGGAGCGGCATGGCTGAGTGCAAGCCGTGCATGACTCCGATGGAGGAGCGGCTGAAGCTGACGAAGGCCAGTACTGCAGCGAAGGTGGATGCAACACTCTACCAAAGCATCATCGGCGGTTTGCGCTACCTAATCCACATGAGGCCGGACATTGCGTTTGTCGTGGGCTACGTCAGTCGCTTCATGGAGGATCCCAGAGAGGACCACTGGACTGCGGTGAAGCGGCTACTGCGCTACGTCAAGGGGACGGTGGATCAGGGGATCATCTTCCCTAAGACCGGCGGAAGTAGGCTGTAGCTCACTGTGTTCAGCGATGCGGACATGGCGGGGGACATCGACAGATGGCGGAGCACTTCTGGTGTGCTCGTCTTCCTCGGGTCGGCTCTAATCTCATGGCTGTCGCTGAAACAGAAGGTGGTGGCGCTATCTACATGCGAGGCAGAGTACGTAGCGGCGGCCACAGCGGCGTGCCAAGTAGTGTGGCTGCGCCGGCTGCTGGGCGAGCTGACCGGTGTGGAAGCTCACCCACCAGCACTGATGGTGGACAACCAGCCCGCCATCGCCCTCGCGAAGAATCCGGTTCTCCACGACCAAAGCAATCACATCGACGTGAAGTTCCACTTCCTCATGGACTGTGTCGATGGAGGGCAGATCGTCATCGAGTTCGTCGAAACTGGTTGGCAACTCGTGGACGTCCTCACCAAGCCGCTCGGCCGTCTTCGACTCACGGAGCTGAAGGAGATGATCGGCTTGGAGGGGGTTCAAGGGTTAGCAGTAGGATTATGGGAAGAATTGTTAGATAATCTACTGGTTCCTTGTGTGAACACACGGCAGGGGAAGGCGGCGCCGAAAAGGCTCCTTACTGTGGTACTGTAGCCACTGCAGGGGCAGGCGTCGAACGGCTCACCTGCCACACTATAGCCACAGCAGGGGCAGGCGCCAGAGTCAGCCCTGCTGTCTCATCTAGTCACTGTAGCAGCATGACAGCTGTACTAGGAATAGATGGATAGAGTTGTATATATAGTTACCACTGCAACTCAGTAAAGAGAGAGTTCAGATTTGCCATCTCCTATACAGAGCTTCGGCCAACACTGATGTCTCTGCTGTGTGTGTGTATGCTCTGTTCTCCCTCCCTTCTTCTACCTCTAGCCATAAATGTGTGGTCGGACAACGTTTGTTGTGGTCGACAAGACTGATGAGTGGTCGACTCACCTGAGCCAGTGATCCTGTGGGCCAACAGGTCCATCTATTATAGGCCCATATGGCCCATGAGTCTCCTATATGTATAGTCATCTCTGCTACTAGAATGTTCATATTCTCAGATCCACAAGGTTAGTAACATGGTACTTTTCAATTGATACTACAGGTGACCAATTAAATATTTGAAATCTGCAAAGTCATTATGACACATCTTAACTGGAGAGGACTATGATAAAAACTAAAGAAGCGAAAGCCACAAAGGCTTGATTATTCAGTTATGTAGGTCACACATAATGCATTGATCTATCTCACAAGTTCATTTAGTTATAACAATTGATTGTTAAAAAACGTCAAAGAACTCTCTTTCAAGGAACAACTGCTAAACAAAAAAAATGACACATCATTGTAATAGATAACATGGAAGTAACATGGTAAGTAAGAACTGAAGTTCATCCATTAGCTTCACTTCTTAAATGAAACGTGGGTGCTTTACAGCTACTGCATATTCTAGAATGACCTGGCCAAAAAACTGTTAACATATATATGTATATAACTTCAGAAGTCAATATGGACAAACCTCATAAGTAACTGTGCCACCTAATGAGTCCTGTTGACGCAGTGTAACATTTGCAATAACACCATTGGCAGATAGAATGCAAATTGCCCTTGGACCTTGTTGGGAGAAAGATATGACCTTCATATTGACATCCTAATAGATAAGATAAAAAAAGTTGGTAAGAATACTGATGAAATTAAAATGAAATGTCTTGTAAGAAGGAAGATGTCTGAATTATAAAGAATGCTAATTCAAGAGGAAAGAGCATCGATCAAGAAGCAAATGTATACAGCGCATCAAGTTATTAAGTACAGTGCTTTTATCAAGCAGAGGACATAAATGATACTTACCTCACCAGCAGCAACATTAATAATATGCGGTGTAAAGTTGGCACCAGAAGCACAAGCTACCAATTCACCTGCCCATCACCAAAGATCATGTCTCAGAAATGAAATACACAGAATTCTCAAGAGAATGCTCACTTTGAATATTCTGTATTCATTTTGTTAAGCACAGAGGGGGGTACAAAGAGTACCAGATGGCAGCCCTATGATGCATACAACAATCTTATATTCAAATTCAACTAATGCACCAAACTATTTTTTCCTCTTGGGCTGTATAGTGGTCATGCCAGTCTTTATAGTGTTCTATTTCTTGGGCTGTCATCCAAGAGTTCTGCCTAATTTGTTAAATTGGAGGAGTCAGGGTGTTAGAGTACGTCATGGGCCTATTGGGCCTAGGGGCTGACGGTATAGCCCGTTAGTTTTAGGGCTAGATAAGGTCGCTTGCTTAGGGTCAAGTAAACCTCTCTATATAAGGAGATGAGATGTATCAATCTAATCAAGCAAGAATTAAGAAGGAAACCCTTCCCTCTTGCTCGGCAGTCATGGGCAAAGGCCCCGCCGGCCGCCTCTCGCCCTCACAGCCCTAGCCATAAACTGTACCCGCGGCTGTAGCATCATGGATACTGTATCACGGTAGTCGCCGCTGCTCCCCTCAACTCTCTCTCAATCCCAACAACCACATAACACAGGGAGTGTAAACTGTTAAGTTTTACTCATTGCAACTCTGGTGGTAAAAAAACAAAGGAAAAGAACAATAAGGAGGAGCAATCAGAAATTGTTACTGTAGCACAACTGACAACAGAGTTATTTCATCATGACACAGTTGTTTAGAATGAGGTGGCAGTGACCTCTGCTGAATCACCTCCGAAGTTTGTGTTTTGTGCTTTTAAGAGTCCCCATAATCTTTGTAGAGAAATTTGTAAGCTATCCCACCAGGCCACCACACTTTATCTGGCTACCCATGCCAAACAGCAAACAGTAGAAACATACAGGTTTCATGGATGAAGGAAACATTGTAAACCACTTAAAAAACGCAGATATCACACGTAACACATGCCCCATCCACCCAAGCAACTTTTAACTATCTGTTTCCCTCCGAAAGGAAGGAATATGCTCCCAGCAGACATCATCTAGTTTAACATCGCTATCAGCCATAGTTACGTGTCCAACTAAATATCAATAAATAGGCTTCCAAGTCACTCAATCCGGTCATCTATGACAACACATCGATCATATCATACATTAATATGAATATATCATTTACAGTCGTGAGGTTCCCATTGAACTTTCAAATGCACAACATTCAGGCAGAATCCCTAATTCCCTGAACAGGCATGACAGACAGTTCCAGTGTCCCTTGTCTTTCTTTCTTTCACCCCTAGGTTTAAGGTACTAGTAAAAGAACTCAGACATGAACAACAATCATGCAGTGGTCAATTTATCAGATAGGGTTGCAAGCATGTCACAGCCTGAAGAATGAAAGCCTGAAATCACTTGCAAAGCACAAGTAAAACACGACACGATACCAGACAGACAAACATGAGCACTACTGAAGTACTGGTCCAAGCAGAAAAACCTGAACTGATGTTCGGATAGTTATAATAAAATAAATTACAGAAGTAATTAGTAATCCACGAGATGAATTTATTAAGCCTAATTAATCCGTCATTAGCACATTGTTACTGTAGTACCACATTCTCAAATCATGGACTAATTAGGTTTAAAAAATTTGTCTCGCAAATTAGTCGTAATTTGTGCAATTAGTTATTTTTTAGTCTATATTTAATACTTCATGCATGTGTCAAACATCAATTTGATAAGAAGTAAACTTTAGAGGGGAAAATTAAACATGGCCGAAACTAAAGCAGAGTTTCTTTGACTAATAATAAATAATAATAAAAAGCTTGCAAGCTGTCAGTTTCGCCCCCCAAACTCCAATCTCGGATCGAAATTGAACGAACTTGCGGCGAAATTTCTCAGAATTATGGAACACAAGGAAGGCGTGAGGAAGGAAAGACGGAGGACGACGTACCGAGCGGCGCGAGCTGGGAGGAGTGCGGCGCCGACGCCGGCGCTGGCGCGGACACGACCACCGCCGGGGTGGGCGCGGCGGCCGTCACGGCCACCGATATCGGCGTGACGCGGCTGATGAACCCGACCGGGCGGCCCCTGCCCCTCTTCATGACGGCCCCGACGGCCGCCGCGGGCGTGTACTGGCCCACTCCCGCGTCGTCCGGCGCCGACGCCGAGATCGGCGTCGCATTCAGCGGCCGCAGCGGGGTCCCGTCCGGCCCGTACTTCCGCGGCCTCCCCCGCTTCCTCTTCCCGTCTCCCCTCCCCGCTACCGCCGCCACAGACGGCGCAGCCGCCGGAGCTGCCGGCGCAGGCTGAGAGCTCGCCAGCGTCGTCGTCGTCGTCGTCGTCGTCGTCTCCGGTGCCGGCGCCGGCTGTGCTGCCGGGGCCGGCGACGGTGACGCCTCCGTGATCTCCATCGTGGGCTTCAGGCTATACGCTACCACCACGTCCCTGGTCGGGCCGTGACCATCAGAGACTACTTACTGCTCTGCTTGTTCACAGACACGAGCGCGATCACGACGCAGGGAGCTCGGAATTATTCAGACCCACAACCCGGAATTCAGCACGAAAACTCGGGAAAGCGAGCGAGCAGCCGTTAAGGTTCTCCGGCGAGCTTCCACCGGCAGTGTTCCGGCGAGAAATTCAAGACCAGAAGCGACGAGGGAGGAGAGAGAGGGAAGGAAGGAAGGAGACGAAGGAAGAAGATATGGAAATACAGCGAGGAAATAAAAGCGATCGATTGGTTTTTATTTTAATTTATTTTGCAAATGGACGGAGGGTTTTAAAAAATTGGAGTTTGTTCGGTTTGGTGATTGGGGCTAAATTAGTGGGGGATTTTTAATGTGAAGAATTAATGGTGGGGTTTATTTTTTAATTATTTCCTTGTTTTGTATCGTCTAGAGGGGGAATTTTTAATCCTGGCTGGTGCTAATTTCGAAATATGCGGTGTGACGCGGAATTAGTTTATGTTTTTTTGTGTGTTTTTTTGTGGGTGAGTCCTTGATGATTTAATTATTTTGATTTTGATGAGGTAGGAGAAGGAGTTCGTGCTGTTTGAATGGTTCCCGCTTTCCACAATCCTTTGGTTGCACGACGGTACAAACAAGAGAAAGCATGTTGTTTTCCTCTCTATTTTACTCTCATGTTATAAAAATATTGTATTTTTATGTGTGCCTCAGTTAGAATTATTGCTAGAATTATTGATTGAACATATATGCTCATATTTTGCTATTAACTAGGAGTATTTTTTAGTGGCAATATGTGTTTATACTATAATCTATATGTTTTGAGAAAAAAATAGTACTTTTTATGAAAAAAATCAAGTAATGCTAGTACATAGAACAAAATATATTCACATCCATAGAAAATTTGTATTCATGTCTCAGATTTTTAATTTATATGTATAATTTCTTGTAGTACTTAACAAATATATGGACCACAAATCCATCATCATAGATTCCGGTCATCTTGAAAATAAAGCTAGTGCCTTGGACGACATAAATTTGCAGAAAGAGAAGAGTGTTTTCGCAAAACAACATTTTATATTGAAGTTTCTTTTGTTAAAGTTATATTTTATAGCCTAGCTAGCGACCCAAACATTAAGAAATGTATGCAAAGGGCATATATGTGGAAAGCAAAAGTATGACTTTGTCTAAACTAAAAAACTATACATATTATTTATGTCAAATTTCTTTGGTGGAGGAGAGCCTCTTGCTCACCACTAATCTACTTCTTATCGGATGACTACTTTAGCAAATGAATTTCTATAAACCACGAAAAATATTGTAATATTAAGTAACTACTTTAGTACCACCTCACATGTGTATGTAAGTCATGGTGATCAAGAGGCTTAGGATTAATTAATTGTCCTGCCTATCATAAATCCTCATCTCATCTAGACTAAGTGTGTTGCCTTAACTTTTTCGCTCTATATTTTTTAGTATTTATATTGGGGTTCCCACTTTAGATCAGTGATCTATACAAAAGATAACATCGACGTAGTTTACACTCAAAGGACACCGATTTAAGATGATTTTAGCCATAAATAATTGTTTTGCATGACAATAATCACATGGTAATTAAAATATCATTTAATTTCCCTATCCAATATCGATGTATTCATCATCGATGATGTTATTTACTTGTCTACTAGAACATAAATATACATGTATAATACAAAGGCAGTTGGTTATGATGGTATTATCATTATCTTAATCTTGGATCGATGATAACACCTTCAAATAATAAATATAGAAATCAACATTGCACAAGAAAAGTCAGTACATGCCAAACCACCTTTCGCGCAAGTGGCAATGATTAGATTATCCTAACCGATGACCATCTTGCAATTAGCACATCGGCTCAATAGTTTTTTTTATAAATAATTAATAGTTTGGTTCATTCCCACAAAGAAAAGTTGAATCTTTTGGTTAGTAAAGAAAAAGGAGCTGCCAGTTTTTTCCTCAACATGTAGTTCACTTTTATTCTTAACCATGGGTGCACACTTACAACTAGTCCTTACACAAATGTTGTAGATGCTTTATTTTTTAAAACAAAAATATGTTAGATCCTCTCAGACATAACAGTTGATAGGTGGCTCAAGTCAATGTGCATATTCGCTGGTTGGTTTTTGAGCTGGTTTGGGCTGACTGGTGCTGGTTTGTTGTGGAGGAAAACACTGTTCGTTGGCTGGTTTGGACTAGCTGAAACCAACAATCGAACATGCAGAATCTATATTTATATCCTTAGATTTAATTTCATTATTGCAGTGAAAAATACATAACACCTGGACATATATGAGAATATGTCTCAACGCTCATCTAAGGAAAGAAATGTAGCAACAATAATCAGGGCAAAACAGATAATAATCACTTTGTTTTGAACCAAAGCATACGTGTACCATCTTGAGTTTATTCATAATAAACAAATAAAAATGCATTTATATATTTTAAATTCCTTAGTATATTGAGGAAGGGTGTAGAAGCACTTACTAGTTATTTACGATTTCCAAAGTGTTCACATGCATCCGGGCCCATATTTCTTGCAGCCGAATTTTATATCTTAGAGCATCTTATAAAATACGTTTTATTTATTGAGGCGTAATTTGACTGAATTATTTTTTAGTGGGGGGCAAATTTTGACCGATTTGATATGATCAATGGGACAAGCGGACAAGATTATAGTATCTTATTTTATGCGAATTATGGATTTGGGTGATCTAGGTGGTTTAGTCAGTGTGACGTGGTAACAATATCACATTATGTGCCAAAGGAAATGATGATGTCCATTGGCGTGTTATTGCTCCCTCGCTGCCAAAAATGCTTTTTTAAAACCATGGGCACATGACGTGTTGCTGTTTGTCCATTAGTTTACACACCCTTGTACAGATAAGTCCTACCCAATGGCCTTATCTCTTTTCCAATTTTTTATATCATATATTAAAATAAATTAAATAGTTCATTTTATGTTCTTTACTGAAAGTCCAGATATTTTATTTATTTATCTGTCTATCCTTATGGAACGATGCATCTTCAAATATATTTTTCTTTCCTAGTAAACTTTGATGGTTTTGAATCTTATATAATAGTTTCGGTCAAAAGAAATTTGGTCCAGTCGAGGTATTACCTCCTCTAGGGCATTGTAATTAAGGTAGAAGGCCTCAACCATACCGCCCGAGAAAATCTCCCAAACCACGGCTTTTGCCAGCGAGAGGATTTTTTAACAACGCGCCACGAGCTACCAACTCGTATGCACAAGCAAGTCTGTTTAAATTGGCTTCCATGTGGAGTTGAACCTAGAACTTGAGGTAGTGCTACTAATTTCGGTCAAAAAATCATGCGAGACGCCTATCTACGGTATACTCCCTCTATTCTTATAATTTGGAATGGAGGAAGTATAATATATTAACGGTTAAAACTCCAAAGTTCTATCCACTAGGGCGTCTTAGAATGTAGTTTTAGAACACGGAAATTCTACAATTCGAAATGAAAATTGCGTTGTTTCCTTGTGATGTTCGGATGGAATTCGAACGGAGTCCTTTGCGTCGGAAGTTGGAACTAGGCCACTAATATAGGGTGAGAGGTGCAGAGGGCCTCAGAATTGAAGCAAATTAAAACGAGTCCAAATGTCTTCATCTTGGGCTCCGTGTGTTAAAGCGGGCCGTCTAAAGTTTCGGGCCGTTCTAAACCCTTGTTTGGACCACGTTGGGCGTATTCATCCATGCTTCAAGACAAATGGACTTCTAAACTAGCATACACATCAATCCGGAGGAGAGAACGCAAGTGGATGGACCACGTGCGCGTATTCATCCGCGGGCTGACAAGACAAATTGAGCAAGCGTAGCGGCCAAGTCTGCAAATGCTGTCCATCAGCAGTACTAGACGCGAACTGATCATAGAAGTGTTGGTTGAGCTCCCTGCCATGGAACCTCCTGAATTCAAGTCCTCGACTTGGCACACATATTTGCATTTTTCTAGATTTATTCCACGATTTAACGGCGCTATATTTTCGGTGGTAGGCGATATACCCGTTGACAACGATGCGTTTACGGTAACTTTGTGAATCTCAAGATCTACCAGTTCAGTTCTTTAAGGGTAGGGTTTGCGGCGTTTACATTGTACTGTGTAATTCTCAAAAAAATCTCAAGATATGCCGACTCATTTCTTCGGATGTGCTTATAGGAGTAGGGTTTACGGCGTTTGCGTTGTGTAATTCAAAAAAAAAATCAGCAGTACTAGTCCAAGTCTGGCTGCATTTGGCATGTGTTGGTGTTGGAAACTGGCTCTATACTCTTCTGCCTCTTGGAAGATGTGGATGTGATGACTCTTTGTCGTCTCATGGCTAAAAGAAGTACGGAGTAGTTTTTTCCCTCCCGATATTTGTTCAGGCCTTGTTTCGTGCATGAACAATCGGAGAGAGCAGTGGCCAAGAAACCATGAGTTCTAAAGATGAACCAAGGAAGTAGGTAGCAAAGTAGAAACATGATTGTTAGCAATAGTTGAGGTAAATTTATTTGTTTTTGTTAAGGTAGTTTTTGATGAAATTTGGAACGAGCAAACAAAATTATTACGCTATGGGTTTCAAATTATGTCATTTTGACTTTGTACTAAGTCAATCTTCTTTAACTTTAGCCACGGTGTTAAAGAACATATAATGACATCGATCGGTTCAAATAAATGTATTACCAAAACATATGTAATGGAAATTCCAATGAAAGTAATTAGTTGTTGGTTGTAAATATTTAATTTTGCACAAGTACACAAATAGTAGCTCTGTTAGGCTCCATTTCTCGGGCTGCAACTGTTGTAGCGGCAAGAAGTGTAGCTGAGCACTTCTGGTATGGGAGACGCTAGTGCCCGTACGTCCAGCCCCAGCATCATGTCCGGATGTAGCTCCCACACCCGCGTCCGACGCATGCAACTCCCTTCGACGACTACTCGCATTGCCTCTCGCGCCCGCTCGCATTGCGTAGAACCGTGCCCCCGTGCCCACACGTGAACCACGGCAGCGCCTTGGCAATAGCACCAGGCTTGCCGAGCCCATCCCGTGCCCGCGCGTGAACCACGGCGGTGCCTCGGTGGCAGCACCAGGCAGCTGCGACAGGTCTCTGTCTGCCAGCCACCAGCACACATTGCAACATGTGGAACACCCCCGATCTACTTTTGAAACATTTGCAAGATACAACTGAAATAGATGAAACATTTAAAACATGCTCTTGAAACATGCGTGTATAGCCATAGCAACATATGCAACATCCAAATCCATTTTTGCAACATAAGTCTAAAACATCTAAAACACATGAAAACAAACACTTGAAATATGTGTGTGCAGCCATAGCAACATATGCAACATCCAGATGAAAACACTTGAAACATACGTCTGAAACAACTAAAACATTTTGAACATAGGCTTGAAACATGCGTATATTGTCATTGCAATCATATAGAAACATCCAAGATATACTTGAAACATAAGTCAGAACGCCTAAAACACTTGAAACACGGCATTGCCTGCGGCCATGACCTACCTGGTGGGGACTACCGTAGATAGAAAACTCGGGTTTAAGGGGACGTCGAGAGCAACGGCCGGTGACCTCCTCCTGCTAGCGCCATGGCGCTTTGCACGCCATGGCCGCAACGAGCAAGGCGGGCGGCGACGCTTGGGCACGGTGGGAAGGATGACGGCGGCGAGGCAGCGCGGTCGCTGTGGAGAGCGCCGGCGAATCGAGAATGGGTGTGGTTGTGGCAGCGATTCGAGAGGAAAATGAGCGAAGATTTTTTATTCAGAAATGCTCTGGAGCAACGCGAGCGACCGTGTGAATGGAATAACCGTGTTGGGCCGTTCGGGCGGGCGTCGAGGCCCACCAACGCTGACGCACGGACAATCGGACGCCCTATCTATAGCATTTCCGTTATGGTATTCTCGCCTACTCTATATTCGTCGCTTATAAAAAGTAAAGTAATGAAATTCGATTTGTCCGTGGTGGAAAAAAGACGAACACAATCAATCATGCATGTAATTTGTCCCTAAATCGATTCCTTTTTTTTTTGTTTGATCTGTTATTATTCACAAGAACGCCTCACCTCATCTATAGCTTTCTAAATTAATCTCCCCCACAAAAAGAAGACGAACAAAGTGAAAACTGGGAATGACGACCAAGAAAACCGAATCGACGATCGACAAACACACATCCATTGCGGCTGTCGATAAGGCTGTCGGTCGGTCGGTCAGGAGAAGATGTTGTCAAATGCGGCGGCGGTGATGGCGCGCGAGAACTCCTGGAAGTTGATGCGGCCGTCGCCGTCGGTGTCCGCCTCCTTGATCATTCCCGTGAGCTCCTTGATGGTGAGCGCGTGGCCGAGCCTGGCCATGGACTGCGCGAGCTCGGCGGCGGTGATGAACCCATTCCCGTCGCGGTCGAAGATGGCGAAGAGCTTGCGGAGCTGGTCCTCGGAGTACGGGGACCGGGGTCGGCGAGGAGGTCGGGGGCGACGAGCCCGACGAACCCGGAGAACTCGACGAGGCCGTTGGAGTTGGTGTCGGCGCGGGTGATGAGCGCGTCGAGCTGGTCGGCGCTGGGCGTCAGGCCCAGGGACCGGAGCAGGGATCCCAGCTCCAGCTGCGTCAGGCTGCCGTCGGCGTTGCGGTCGAAGGACCGGAAGATCTCCCGCAGCTCCGCCAGCTGGTCCTCGTCCAGCCGTGGCTGCTGCGCTGCTGCTGAGACGCCTGGCTGATGGTGGCGGCCACGGACACGGAGCTGCCGCCGCCCCGTCGGATGCTTGCCATCGTCGTCTCCAGCGACGCGACGGCGGACGGCGCCTGCTTGTGCACGGCAGAAGCGTCGGCGGTGGGGGCCGTGGTCGCGTCGCTCATGTTCAGATCTCGGGAGCACGAGGAGGGAGGCGGGGATGACGATCGACGAATTGGGTGGAGCGGCCGGAGAAGACGGATCTTCCCTCACCTCCCGGGAAAGTCGGCATGCCAACCCATCTTCGCAACTGCATGCATGTGGCCGCCCAGCTTATCTTCTGTTCTACCGCCCATTAATGCATTGTGATTCGCGCTGGTCAATACCTACTTATTGTTGGAGTATTTTGTTTTTAGTTTTTTTTCAAACAAAACTAGGAGCATCTTTTAGTGGCGATATACATCTCTGCTATACTATATATGTACTGAGAAAGTATAGTACGTAATTTTTATAAAAATATTGGATCCGGAGTACAAGAACTATACGTGTGGGTGTAAGTTACCCCAATAACTTTTAATCTGCTCTATCGGGATCAAGAACTTGTCATCTTGGTGCATAGACGGTCCAAAAACCAATCTCTCGCGTACTTGGCAGTTAAGGGTACGATCGGACTCGTATTGTCACGTATACGGCTCGTGCAGCACGCAGGTACACGGCTCATGCATATAGCAGCTCGATGCTCTGGCTCGTGCCGCCGGACACGGCTCGTGCCGCGTGCGCGCCGTCGCCTCGCCCGCGCGCCCCGTCGTCCACCGGCTCGGTACGCCCCCCTCTTCCCCCTGAACCCCGAACTACTGCTGTTGCTCTCAGTGCCGTGTTCGATTCACACACATACGAATACGCGCGGCCGCCCCCCCGCCCGCCTGCCCCTCTCCAGGTGAAGAGCGCGATGACGATGACGGAGAAGATCCTGGCGCGGGCGTCGGAGCGCGCGGCGCTGGAGCCTGGGGAGAACGTGTGGGTGGACGTGGACGTGCTCATGACGCACGACGTCTGCGGCCCCGGCACCATCGGCATCTTCAAGAAGGAGTTCGGGGAGGACGCCAAGGTCTGGGACCGCGAGAAGGTCGTCATCATCCCGGACCACTACATCTTCACCAGCGACGAGCGCGCCAACCGCAATGTCCATATCCTCAGGGACTTCTGTGTGGAGCAGAACATCAAGTACTTCTATGACATCAAGGACCTCAGCAATTTCAAGGTATGCCTCTGTAACGATACTAGCGCTACGAGATTACTTGGGAACTGGAAATATGAATCTGGATACAAACTACGACGGAATTGGTAGTCGCCGGCAAATCTCGAGCCGCAGCTCGCCGCCAGTTCCGACGCCAACCAAGTCGAATTTTAGTTTAATTTGCTTCCTCCCCTTCCTAAATAGCTATCTCTCTGTTACAGCTGTGGGCACAGCGTACGCCAGACCCAGCTGGGCACAGCGTACGCACGGGTTTGGCTTCCTGGGCCGCTTGGTCTTCATGCCTTCTCTTGGAGTCGTGGCCCGTACCGTGACATTCCCCTCCTTGAAACACGGCTTGTCCCCAAGCCGTTGTTGAAGTTAGCTTCCATGGAACTTGATCTACACTTTGCCAGGTGGATATAGTAGTCCAGCCCACTTGATTAAAACCTGAGAAACTATTATTTGTTTGGACTAAGGCAGGACTTTTCTCAAATCTGTTATGTGCATCCTCTTATCGCATTGTCATATATTGTGGATACGCTTCAGTCAACTGCAGAAAAAGAATACAGTGTTTTGATCTGTTTTAATGTTCATTTCAGGTGCCCCCTACTATCAGGTTTGTATTAGACGGAGAAATGCCGCCTTATTTACTTGCGAAGGATCTGATTTTGCAAGTAAGCTTACAAGCTGTGCTAAATTTATTCCTTTCTTAGGATCTAACTGTAATCAGGACTTCTTATTCTTGCTAATTGCTACTTACAGATTATTGGTGAGATTTCAGTATCTAGTGCAACCTACAAATCAATGGAGTTTGTTGGATCAACTGTAGAAAGTCTAACTGTGCGTTTCCTGCTCAAGATTGTCTTAGTTAATTGCCACACTGCGTAACATTGAACTTAGTCCTTTTCACACACTTGCTAGATGGAAGAGCGTATGACACTATGCAACAACATGGTTATTGAAGCTGGTGGAAAGAACGGTGTTGTGCCTGCTGATGAAACTACATTTAAATACCTTGAGGTACAAAACTAGTCAACTTGAAATGCTCATAATAATGTTGGACCAATATGCTTTTCTTTCATAACATTCCAATAACTTTGAGATAGAGAGTGCTCAGAACAATTTGCAAAAATGAGCTTCTACTGTTTAGTTTGTAGGATAGTTCTGACATCATTGTTGTTGTGCTGGTATACTGCAGGGTAAGGCATCGGTTGATTATGAACCTGTCTGCAGTGATGCTCAGGCCAGGTGACTATAGGCTGTCCTTGCTTTTCTTGACCTTTAGCTCATGTTATGTATTCATCTATGTGCATGTTTTAAGTTCTAAAAATATTTGCCTTACAGATCACGAGTCCTTGTTAGACAAAATCGAACTTTGAAAGTAAATGGATAAAAGATACACCACTAGTTTTTCCATGTTCTCTTATCTCTTGTCTTTAAAAGTTGATTATGTTATGCACATACAAGAAATATAATTTGTTGTCTAATTCTTTCCTTCCAGACATTTGACTCTGTAGTCTCTGTCTGACCATCTGATATAACATGCGCATGATTTATTGCTTATTTTATTTGATTGCCTTTTTTCCCCAGATTTTTTAGTGACTACCGTTTTGATGTATCAAAACTGGAGCCAGTAGTTGCCAAGGTTTGTTGATGTAGTATTTTGCAATCTTCATCTTTTGTTGATTTTCCTATAAAAGCGAAACAATAACTGTCTTGAATCTGCAGCCACATTCGCCTGACAACCGTGCTCTAGCAAGAGAATGCAAAGATGTCAAGATCGACCGAGTCTATATTGGTTCTTGCACTGGTGGTAAGACTGAGGACTTCCTTGCTGCTGCAAAGGTGTTCTTAGCCTCGGTAAGAAGCTTGAATCCTATCATGGTGCGCGCGCTTGTTATCTTTCAGACCTCCTATCCCATGGCTACTTGACTTACTGGAAACTTTTTTTTCTTAATCCAGGGAAAGAAGGTTAAAGTTCCCACATTTCTTGTCCCTGCTACACAAAAGGTGATATTTAGAATAAAAATATTCCAATGTGATCACCGTGTAGAGTATAGACTTGTTCATAATTTGGAAATATTGTGAAATCTCTGCAGGTGTGGATGGACGTATATAGCCTCCCTGTACCAGGCTCTGGTGGCAAAACTTGCTCCCAGATATTTGAGGAGGCTGGTTGTGATACACCAGCAAGTCCTAGCTGTGGTGCTTGTTTGGGTGGCCCTCGTGATACATATGCACGGATGAATGAACCTATGGTGGGTATCACATGCAAATCTAGAAGCATTTCTATAGGAATGGTACTTAGTATATATATACCTAAGGGTGGGTAACTATGGTTCTAGTGCACAAATTAGTATGCTACTATATATGTTATCTTAACTATTGAATGATAAAGCCAAGAACTATCGAATGATAAAATATATGTTGTGCACATACAAATTTCACACTCTGAAGGTCGGGCCTGGTGCAAGTGGTAGAGTCTTACCGCCTATGACCGGAAGGTCCTGGGTTCGAGTTGCGGTCTCCTCGCATTGCACAGGCGAGGGTAAGGCTTGCCACTAACACCCTTCCCCAAACCCCGCATGCACTGGGTACGCCCCTTTTTATACAAATTTCACACTCTGACGGGCTAGCTGATGTGCCAATTATGCTTACTTGGGTACATAATTGTACCTCTGTCTCAGTTATGTGCTAGGTTGCTGTTTTAATGTTGTTACTGAATAGCTATGGCTGGAATCACTAAACAAAAATGCGCCCTGTGCAGATTTTAGCACTAGCACCTTCTTATAAGACATTACTACTAGACCCCTCGCCCCTCCTGTTGGGGGATGCATATTCTTTTTCCTTTCTTTTTCTCTCTCTCTATGTATAGATGCTATCAGTGGCAGTTGAAACTACATGTATTGTAGAGCTTTTTGCCATTGATTGAAGTCCTTGAGTCTGTGAAGGAAAACAGCTAGTGCTCTGAAATTCTAGTTTGTTGACTTGGGCGGCTTTGATGAGTGATGAATTTAACATATGGATCTGATAACCTGGATGCAGGTCTGCGTGTCTACTACGAACAGGAACTTCCCGGGCAGGATGGGACACAAGGAAGGGCAGATCTACCTGGCGTCTCCCTACACTGCAGCTGCCTCAGCCCTGACAGGGTACGTTACGGACCCCCGAGACTTCCTCATGTAACAATCTTGAAACAACAGAGTTCATGATGTAACAGATTGCTGTTTTTCGTGTTGAACCTTAGTTTAGGTGTGTCTTTCGTTGAGGAATAAACTGCATGTCGGGAGCTTGGCATGTATGGTTTTGCATTATTACAGTGTACTACCAAGAACATACTTGAGTGTTACAAGGGAAATACATTCTTCGGTGTTCTTACAAAAGGCCTGTTGAGCGATCTTGTGGTTCATACACTGAACGTTTTTTCTTACAATGAATATGAGAAAGAAACTCAGCTGATCTTTCTTATTCTGAATACTCTACGGCACGCCAATGCTCTGTACTAGGAGTGAATGGCATTTTGTGACTATTAAACAATCAACCCATGTAAATGACCAAATCTATAGCCTTGTCGGAAAGGTTAATATACACTTCATACTACATCCTGCTGTGGTTTTGCAGTATGTTATGTCTCCCACGGTACCCACTTCTATCTTGCTAGCCGTTGCAATTCTACTAGTAGCATACTCTAAAATAACTAGTAGCATAAATGCATAGTCTTGACTGGCATTCACAGATGATACAGCGTACTCTCTTCTGGGTGTAGCCACAAGCATAATTACACACCCGGGATACTTTTTCCGTCACCAATCCAAATTATATATACCTCATGTTACAGTATCTGGTGAGTGGTATATGCAGACCCAATCTGCCATCATTGTAAAGGAATATGGGAAAGGAAACACATGCACTTAGTTCATAATAGGTTTGATTTAGAGCATAAGTCACAGATGAAGTAGCAGTTTCTTGGACATTGAGAAAATGTGTACTTATCATCTGTGACACCACTTTGATGAACAATGATCACTGATGATATATAGTAACAAGACCAACAAATACTAGTAAGCCAAGGTGACAAATTAAACAAACCTAGGTTCCACAAGATTACATACACAAAACAACTAACACTTATCTTGATGTGCTAAGGATAGCCTAAACCATACTGTATAATTAGGTGCCGTAGAATATGCAGTACCACCAAGTTGTTTGTGCATGACATATTGCACCTCCTTTATAGCAATCAGGCACCTTCAAGTCAACATAGAATCCTGAAAATATGGAACCACCAGCTGATCCAATAATCCAGTTTCAATACAATAGCTGCTGCAAATCCCACTCCAAAGCCCACACCAGCAAAGAGAAACAAAACAACATCGACACCATGAGAGGAGTTTTTCAGATGTGTTTCACTTGGAATATCCGAAGGGCCACATTTTTTGGATAGAGGGGGTCCACAGAGTCCTGCATTGCCATCAAATGAGCTCTCCTGGAACGTGTCGAATTGATGTGATTGTGGTATTCTTCCATCCAATTGGTTATTGCTCAAATTCAAGGTGCTAAGGAAGGTGAGATCAGTTAACTCTTGCGGAATCTCACCTGATAGCATGTTTGAAGACAGGTCCAGGGACTCCAGAGCAGTTATGCTACCAAGTTGGGGTGGAATTTGTCCAGTGAAGACATTATGAGACATGTTTAGTAGAAGTAGTGAATGCAGATTTCCAATCGAAGTAGGAATGCTTCCTTCCAGTGCATTCTCTGATATGTCTATTGCAGTTAAGGTAGTTAAGATCCTTTCAAAGGTCATGGAAAGCCCTTTGCATGATATTGTGATAGAGTCTTGGTAAAGTATGTCTGTATGATCTATTATCTGTCCTCTATTGTCATATTGCTTCATTGATTTCAAATTTTCAAACCATTGCGGATGCAATTTTCCAGAGAAATTGTTTGAGGCCAGATCAATGATTTGCAAGCTTGAGAAGTGTCCTCTGTATTTTTCATCTTCAAGATGACCTATTGAACCATGGAACTTGTTGGATCTCAAGACAAGTACACGAAGATTCAAAAGCCCCCCTAGCCAGGATGGAAAAGTGTCTGCAATTTGATTCCTTCCGAGGTCAAGAACCTCTAAGTTAGTGCAATTATAGAGTGTCCTTGGAAGCTGACCTTCAATCTTATTGCCATTCAAATATATTGTTTGGACTTGACATCCAATAGAAATATTGGAAGGTAGCATCCCATTGAATTGATTCTCCCTCAAATTTATTATTCTCAAAAATGTATTTTCCATCAAGCACTGTGGTAACGGTCCGCTAAAGTTGTTATACGATAAGTCAAGGACTTCCAAAGGTGAATGACAAATTGAACGTGGCAAATAACCACTTATATTATTGTGTGACAACATAAGATACGCAGTGGAGCTAAGGTATAACGTGAAGTTTGGAAGAAGGGAAGAGAAACTGTTATTTGAATAATCCAATATTTCAGCTGATGAACTTGGCAAAGGAATCGATCCTTGAAGCCTGTTGAAGCTAAGATCGAAACTATACAAGGTATTGCTGAATGGGATAACATATGAATTGAGTTCCATACCAGTGAACATGTTGTGTGAAAGACTTATCCACGCGAGGCTATAATTCCATCTATCCCATATCCAACTTGGTATATCCCCGCTGATTTTATTACTTGAAAGGTCTAGATAAGTCACATATTTGGCATGCATTAATAACTTTGGTATTTTTGTCATATTGCAACTAGCAAGTCCTATCTCCATAAGCTGATGGGGATAGGTAGATGAAGAATTGTTAGTATCCTCCCCTTCTATTACAGTCAGCTTATTGTATGAAAGAGAGAAAGAAGTGAGCTTCTCTCCCCATAGTGATGCAAGATCCACTGAGCCCATTAAGTTGTTGCCCTCAATATCGAGTGTCGTCAAATTTGGGAGTACCAACAATGATTGGGGAATCTGCCCTGTCAAATTATTCATTTCCAAGTATACAATCCTCAAGCATGAACATGCTCCATCGAATTCATGTATGGGACCAGAAAGTTGGTTTTGTGAAAGATCTAAGTAGCCAAGCTTTGGAAGAATGAAAAGAGATGCTGGGATTTCTCCTGCACAAAGAAAATAAATTTAGTTCAGTTGTGGATGCTACTAGACTAATAGAATTTCAATGCTACAGAACTTAGTTTTATGTACACATGTTGAAACTGTGTGGAAACTTAGCTAGCCTCACTTCCTATCCTACTAAAGGAAAGAGTGGTGGAGAACTAAACTGAAATAGACAAAACTAGAAACAAAACCATAATATATTTTTGTGGTTTTTTCAGTTTAATTTTTTATTTGATTTCTGAAACGGTTCTGACCATTGTTTCTAATTCATTTTTAGGTTGAAACACTAGACTGGCCTAACTGCATTGTTATATGCATCACATAAGGAATCAATTTGATCCTGTTGGCCCACAGGATTACCGGCTTAGGTGTGTGAACCACTCTCCAGTCTTGCCGAGCACCCGCTAGCTAAGCCGACCACGAACAAGCATTGTCCGTCCCCACACACTATGGCTCGAGGTTGAAGAAGAGAGAGAACAGAGCATACACACACAGTACAAGACACCAGCGTTGGCCGAAGCCCTGTATGGGAGATGGCAAATCTGAACTCTCTTTACCGAGTCACCGTGGTAGTCTATTTATACAACTCTATACATCTAGTCCTAGTACAGCGCACATGCTGTAACAGTAACTAGATAACACAGCAGGACTGACTTCTGCGCCTGTCCCTGCATGTGGCTACAGTGCGGCAAGTGAGCCGTTCGGCGCCTGCGTCTGACAGCGGCTACAGTACCCACAACAGGGGGGCTTTTCGGCGCCGCCTTTCCTTGCTGTGTGTTCACACAAGAAAACAGTAGATTATTATAACAATCTTCCCCTAATCCTACTGCTATCCCCTGTACCCCCTCCATGCCGATCATCTCCTTCGGCTCTGTGAGTCGAAGACGTCCGAGCGGCTTGGTGAGGACGTCCACGAGTTGTCGACCAGTTTCGACGAACTCGATAACGATTTGTCCTCCATCGACACAGTCCCTGAGGAAGTGGAACTTCACGTCGATGTGTTTGCTCGGGTCGTGCAGAACCGGATTCTTTGCGATGGCGATGGCGGGCTGGTTGTCCACCATCAGTGCTGGTGGGTGAGCTTCCACGCCGGTCAGCTCGCCCAGCAGCCGCTGTAGCCACACAACTTGGCACGCCGCTATGGTCGCCGCTACGTACTCTGCCTCGCTCGTAGATAGCGCCACCACCTTCTGTTTCAGCGACAGCCATGAAATTGGGGCCGACCCGAGGAAGACGAGTACGCCAGAGGTGCTCCGTCGTCCGTCGATGTCCCCCGCCATGTCTGCATCGCTGAACACAGAGAGCTGCAGCCTACTCCCGCCGGTCTTGGGAAAAATGATCCCTTGATCTACCGTCCCCTTGACGTAGCGCAGTAGCCGCTTCATCGTAGCCCAGTGATCCTCTCTGGGATCCTCCATGAAGCGACTAACGTAGCCCACGGCGAACGCAATGTCCGGCCTCGTGTGGACTAGATAATACAGACCGCCGACGATACTCCGGTAGAGTGTTGCATCCACCTTCGCCGCGGTGCTGGCCTTCGTTAGCTTCAGCCGCTCCTCCATCGGAGTCACGCATGGCTTGCACTCAGCCATGCCACTCTGCTCCAACAGCTTGGAGGCATACGCGCTCTGACCGAGCGTGAGTTCCTCCTTCCGCTGTCTCACCTCGATGCCAAGGTAGTAGGAGAGTACGCCGAGATCGCTCATTCGAAAACGAGCCGTCATCTCGCGCTTGAAGCTGTTGATGTCCTCTGTGCGCGCATCGGTGACGATCAAGTCGTCCACATACAGGCCGATGATGAGCTCCTCCTTCCACCATCGCCGCGTGTAGAGCACGTGCTCGGTTGTGCACCGTTGAAACCCAAGCTCGCCCAGCGTGGCGTCAAGCTTGGCGTTCCATGCTCGTGGGGCCTGCCGTAGCCCGTAGAGCGCCTTGCGTAGTCGGAGCACCCTGTGCTGCTCTCCCTTGACGGTGAAACCTGGAGGTTGCCTGACGAAGACCGTCTCCGCCAGCTCGCCGTTGAGGAAGGCCGATTTAACGTCCAAGTGATGGACGTGCCAGTCCTTTGCTGCTGCCAAGGCTAGTAGCAAACGGACCAACTCCATGCGCGCTACTGGCGTAAAAACCTCCTCGAAGTCTATGCCCTCGCGCTGAACAAAGCCTCGGGCGACGAGGCGCGCCTTGTGCTTAACAATGGCGCTGAGCTCGTCCCGCTTGATCTTATACACCCACTTCAGGCTGATCGGATGGCATCCTGGAGGTGGATCGACGAGCTGCCATGTCTCGTTTTCCTCGATCGCCTTCATCACCTCCAGCATCGCCCATCTCCAGTTTCTATCCCGCTCGGCCAGCGTGAACATGGGTGGTTCCTCTGCGCTGACAAGCATCAGCTCTTGATCATTGAGCAGCCGACCAGCTAGTGCTGAGGGTCATATGCCGCCGACGATGTCGTCCAGCTTGCGGAACCGCACCTCCTCACCTTTGTGAAAGGCATCCACGAACTCAGTGATGTGACTTGGAGGTGAGGCGAACTCGATCGGCGTCGATGGAGTTCCCTGTTCCGCCGGAGTGCTCGGCCCCTGGTTGCAGTGCTTGGCACTACTTCTGGACAGCTCGTCACTACTCCTGCAGTGCTCGGCACCACTATAGGAGTTCTCAGCCTCAGTCTTGGAGTGCTCGGCACCCGTCCTGGAGTGGTCGCCACCACAGCAGAACCCCCCGTCGCCACTCCTGGCCTGCTCGGCATTTCTCCAGGAGTGCTCGGCACTCCTCCCGTAGTGCTCAACATCCCTCCTGAAGTGCTCGGCTCTGCCCCAGGAGTGCTCGGCTCTGTGAGTGCTTGGCACCCCTTCCGGAGTGCTCGGCACCTCTTCCCTAGCGTCTCCACCACCATGGATGACTAGGTGCTCGACGACGAAGGTGCTGGTGAAGCCGCCAGCGTCTCCCGTGTTCGACTGCTTCAGTCCCAAACCGCCTTCTCGTCGAACACGACATCGCGCGAGACAAGCACCTTGTCTTCGCTTGGGTCGTAGAGCCGGTACGCCTTGGTACCCTCCGCGTAGCCCAGGAACACCATGGGTGTGCTACTGTCCTCTAGCTTGGTGAGGTTCGGCTTCGTCTTCCTGATGTGGCCAATGCAGCCGAATGTCCGGAGGAAGGACACGCTCGGCTTGCGCCCATACCAAGCTTCAATGACGTCTTGCCCGTCAGGGCTTTGGTCAGAGCGCGGTTGAGGATGAACACCGCCGTGGTCACCGCCTCCCCCCCAGAACCTTGCCGGCATGCCTTTGGCCTTCATCATGGATCGGGCCATGCCTACCACCGTCTGGTTTCGTCGCTCCACCACGCCATTCTGTTGTGGCGAGTATGGCGCGGTGTGGTGTCGCACCACACCCTGATCCGCGCAGTACGCAGCGAACTCCACCGAAGTGAATTCATAGCCGCGATCAGTCCTCAGCACGTGGAGCATCTTGCCGCTCTCGGCCTCCGCGCGCATCTTAAACTTCTTGATCGCCGCCACCGCTTCATCCTTGCTCGTCAGGAGTTGCAGCCACATGTAGCGACTGCAATCATCCACGAGCAGGAGAAAGTACCACCGACCACTGTTTGTAGCTGGCGTGATCGGCCCGCAGAGGTCGCCGTGGATGAGCTCAAGAGCGTCCTTCGCGCGATACTTGGCCGCCTTTGGGAATGGTAGCCTCCTCTGCTTCCCGACCAGGCAGCTGTCATCCAGCTCACCTCTGTGCTTGATGTGGGGTAGCCCTCGGACCATCTTCTCCAGCCGACCAATCGCGTCGAAGCTGAGATGTCCGAACCGGGCATGCCACATCCATAGTTCCTTGGTGTGCCTTGCCGCTAGGCACACCGGTTGCTCTACCTTCAGGTCGAGCAGGTACAACCGATTCAGGGATCTCTTCACCTTTGGCGAGAAGTCACTGCTCCCGGTCCCTGATCCTAAGGACTCCGTCCTTGATCAGTACCTCGCTACCGCGCTCATCCAGCTGACCAATGCTGATGATGCTGGAACGCAGCTGCGGGATGTAATATACATCCGTTAGCGCGTGGTGCTCCCTGTTCTGGCACCTGAAGATGATGGTGTCGCGCCCTTGGATAGCCACCCTTGAGCCGTCACCAAACTTCACCGTACCGGTAATATCGTCATCGAGCTCAGAGAAGGATGCCTTGGAGCCCATCATGTGGTTACTGGCACCAGAGTCCAGATACCACCGTTGCTCCTAGTTGGCGCCCACACGTCCGAGGTGGACTTGGGCACGTGGTTTGTCAAGGTTGACAGCCTTCAGGGCCTTCCCAGGTCCTTCCACTGTCTTCGCCTCTTCCCTCTCCTCGGCCTCGATGTCGTGCAGTGCACAGAACATCGCTATCAGGATAGTGGCCTCATCATCATCATCAGCTTGCGCTAGATGAGCCTCAGCCTTCTTCTCCTGTTTGCGGTTTGGGCACTCCCATGCCCAATGGCCCATGTTCTCACAGCGTCGACAGGCGTTGGGGTCAACCTGCTTCTTCTTCTCTGAAGAAGCCTTGCCGCAGCGCTTGCCGTCGCCACCGCGGCTGGAGGAGGCTGCCTTTCCGGAATTCCTTCGAGCAGCCCACTCCTCTTCCGTTAGCATCAGTTTGTCGCTGTCCTTCATTGTTGTCGCCTGCTCTAGGCGCTCGTCCACCGCCCACAGACGGCCTGTCACATCCTCAATGGTGAGGGTGGACAAGTCCAGCATCGTCTCTATGGAGAGAGCGATCTGGATGTACTTTGCCGGCACGGAGTGGAGGTACTTGGAGACCGCCTCCTCTTCGTCGATGGTGACGCCATGGCTCTTCAGCTTGCTGATGAGCGTCTGCAGGCGGAGGGAGAAGTCCTCCACCGTTTCACCATCCTTGAACTTGAGGTTGGCGTACTCCTGCTTCAGAAGCTGGGCCGTCGCCTTCTTTGCGCGGTCGGAACCGACGCGCATCGCCGCAATAGCCTCCCACGCCTCCTTAGCCGAGCTCTTCGTCCCCAATGGCTCTCTGTACTCTGCCGGTACAGCAGCGAGGATAGCCTCCAACGCTGACATGTCATCTTCCTCATTGTCGGTGCCCTTGTCAACAGCATTACAGAGCCGTCGGGCTCTGAGCTTGACCTTCATGGTCACCGACCACTCTCCATAGTTGGTGCGAGTCAGCGTCGGCCAATTGGTGCCGCTGACCTCTCTCACCGTGCGAACAACGACCTCCGATCGTGGCTGGGCAGCCACAGCAGTGCCACTGTTGTCGCCCATCTCTGACGACGCTTGTACGGCTCTGATACCACTTGTTGGCCCACAGGATCATCGGCTCAGGTGAGTGAACCACTCTCCAGTCTTGCCGAACACCCGCTAGTGTTGTCGAGCACCGACTAGCTAAGTCGACCACGAACAAGCATTGTCTGTCCCCACACATTATGGCTCGAGGTTGAAGAAGAGGGAGAACAGAGCATACACACACAATACAAGAGACCAGCGTTGGCCGAAGCCCTGTATGGGACATGGCAAATATGAACTCTCTTTACTAAGTTGCCATGGTAGTCTATTTATACAATTCTATCTATCTAGTCCTAATACAGCGCATATGCTGTAATAGTAACTAGATAACATAGCAGGACTGACTACTGCGCCTGTCCCTGCATTTGGCTACAGTGCGGCAGATGAGCCGTTTGGCGCCTGCGTCTGACAGCGGCTACGGTACCACAGCAGGGGGCCTTTTCGGCGCCGTCTTCCCTTGCTGTGTGTTCACAGAAGGAAGCAGTAGATTATTCTAACAGATCCAACCCAATAAAAAATAATACAATAGGTATACCATAACCCCTTGAATCCCTTCCACTTTGCAACCACCGTAGCACATATGCACTGCCCCTCCAAGGAGATACGATGCTTGCATAAGGAATTATATTCTTCGGAAAACAATGAATGATGCACATTGAAATTTAGTCCTACTTTATCCTTTCACACTCAAACTTACTCAATATAAATTCCATAAGGTTTTAAACAACCAAATTTCAACATTAATGCATTGGTTCCACTACTGTAGTTCATTACAAGACAAGATCACAAGGATCAGTATAGAAAACACAAAAAATACAAAAAAAAAAAGTGCAATTTTAGGAGTTCCAAATAGTATGGAGTGAGCTTTTAAAGAAATTAGGTGTAAATTAATGAGCGAGTGAGGTAACCATACCACTGAGATAATTTTCGTTAAGATGCAGCTCAATCAGCTGAGTCAAATTAGCAATTGTACTTGGTATTCTGCCAGAAAGACCCATAGAACGTAGTACAAGTGATTCCAGCTTCTTCAGTGCGCCAACTTCATGTGGTATTGGGCCTATTGGCCGAGAACGCCAACAATTCAGGATGTGCAATCTTTCCAAGTTAGTCATATTCCCAATAGCAGATGGAATAGCAAAGAAGCTATCATCGCACTCATCAACGCACTCGATTTTGAGAAATTTCAGGTTTATAATATTGGTAACTGATGATAATGTTTGTGTTGTGAGCTTGCTCTCAGATATGACTAAACTTGTTAAGTTTTTGAGATTTCCAATGGATGAAGGTATTGTGATGGACAAGTCGCAGGAGTCGAACTCCAAGCTTCTCAGGTTCTTGATGCCTCCAAACCAAGAAAAGAGTGACTCCAATTGTCTTGGTGAATCTAGTCCTATCACAGTCAATCTGCGCAAGGATGCAAGCATACCAAATGAAGAACGGAAATTTGTGGAAATTATTTCTCCATCGATAACCAATTCTGTCAATGCCTTGAAATTGCTACAATTGCTTGATTTATCATAGGAAAAGTTGGTCGAGTCTATCCATAGTGTTTCTAAAGAAGCTGCATTAGAAAAGTTTGGTAGGTGGCCTGAGAGATCTGGATTCCCGGACAAGTCGAGTACCCTTAGATTTTTTGATAGAAACGTTCCTCGAGGAAACCACCCTTGAAGATTAATACCAGATAGTTGGAGCACTCTTAAATTGGGAAAATTCATGAGAAACTCAGGAAATGGACCGGGGGTGATATGAGAATTGCCGCTGAGGTTGATCACGGCTAGAGACTTAAACCTTGAGAGAGAGCTGATATCACCTTGGAGGTCACAGTACCCCAAGCTAAGAACCCGCAGATGTGGCACAGATTTAGCTAGAGCTTTGAAGCAATCTTGTACAGATGAAGATATACTCACAAGATCAAGGTAAAGCTCTGTCAAATTGCTCAGATTCGCCACTATTTTGTGGAAATAGGGTACCGAGAGGCCATAATTAGGTGCAACAGAGATGGCATCGATATCACAGTCGTCTTCTGCGTCTTCAATATCATTAGAAAGATCCGAAATATCCAAGGAGATAAGGTTTGTGAGTTTGCTAATGCCAATAGGTACCTGACCGCTGATTGCTGAAGTGGAGAGGTTGAGGTGGGTAAGCGAACTGAGTCTCTCGAAACCAACTGATGGGATGTCGTAGCCCCTAAAATTGTTCATGCTCAGGTCGAGCATCCTGAGGGAGGTGAGATTAAACAGCACGGGGTGAATTCCATCACTGTTCAATCGAAACCCACTGAGGTCGAGAGCTGTGACGACATGATGGCCTGAGGAGGAGTTGCTGCAGCCGACGCCCTCCCAGAGACAGCAGTCCGTGCCAGGTTTCCACGACGGAAGAGTGGTGGTGGACTCCAAGTCGTGTGGGAACCTTCCGTTTGGGTGGAAGCTGAAAGACTGCTTGAGTGTAAGCAGAGTGTTTGCCTGATCTGGACGGCATAGCCAAGGAGCAGAGTGGTGGCGAGTGAGGTTGGCATGCCCGTGAGGATGGACACCGGAGGCGGAGGCGGCATGTGTGTGGAAGTGGAGGAGCTGTACGAGACAGAGCAGCAATGGCGTCCAACCAATGCAACTGGAAGCCATTTTTGCATGCTAGGCTACTGTCTGGCTGGTAACACAAGGATGGCATATTTGCATTTGTAATTGAAGTTGATAGTCTTGTTCAAGTTTCCAAGTCATCGTCGGTCATCGCACGCGCAGTACACCCACAATGGCATGCTGCACATTCATGTGCGTGGTGGATGTTGAACTGAAAGCACTCCACTAGTGTATTACTTTCTCTTTGTTTAATTTCACTCAGTGGAAACAGTTGAATGACCACATTAACATTAATCATCACTCCATGCACGGCCCCTTTCCTTTTCTACATAAGGTCCTAATCGGCGGCTATTCGCTCAATATTTAGGTACATTTTATTTGGTGATAGAAAATAGAATCACTATATCCGAATTTGAATGTGATTTTCAATTGTTATGTTTTTTGCTGTGAGTATTACAATTTTTAAAAGAAATCACTTCAATCGACAAGGTTTAGTTTCGGGCACCGAGGCAAAGTCTTGTTTTCTCTTTTCATACACAGAGGAACTATCATATCTGTTGTCTTTTCCCGCTTCTAAATTCACAATAATACTCTTCCCGCTTCTAAATTCACAATAATACTCCGTAGTTGTCTCAACGCCTCGGATGTTTTTTTTTTTCAAAAAGCTTATGGCATTTGAGACGGGCTTACACCTAATAATGGTGCCAGACCTAATTTTGACCGACTATTCCCTAACTTAAAATACTTAGCTCAGAAGCTACAAATCTATATCTATATGTATACATATACACGTATATCTATACTTTCTATGTTTAAGTCTTTATTTAAGATCAATTTTTTTATTCCCTCTCATTCTCTCCCCTGTCCGTTCACAACTCTTCGTCGCCGCTTACTCTTACCTTTCTTGTTTTGAGTTTGGAGCTACAAAACCTACATCGATGCCACACCACTCATGCCATGACCCGGCTACTCGAGCCTGTTCGTGTAACCGTGTTGCGGCACACATGCCAAACTAGACCAGAGCACCTCTCTTCTAATCATCAAGGTCACATAAGCCAACTAGTGACAGATTAACCCTAGTTTCTTAAAACCACACTGTAGAAGCAAAATAAGCAAGGTCTGAAACAAAAGACAAGCACGCTGTAGAAGCTAACCACAAGCTGAAAATAAAAACAAAAAAACTTTCGTGTACTAAAAACAAGCTGCAAACAAAGAGGAACCAAATGCACTACTACTGGCTGACGACGTACTACAGAGCAAAAACTCGAAAGACATTCAGACAGACATACTGCTACAGCAAAAACAAGAACAAACTGAGGTGAACTAAGTACGTGGCTACGTGCTCGAATTGGCTTACAGATAGATATACTATGAGGAGCTGTACAGGATGGTCAAAGACACTGACTGTACAATAGTTGACTGTTGGGAAGAAGGCGAGTGGTAGATAGAATTTAGAAAAGCTCTCTTCCTGAGAGAGTTTGAGTTGTGGAAGGAACTGTTGGAGGACTTGAATGAGGTTAACTTGGAAAGGCATTCTACTGATAGTGTGATATGGGCCTTGGAGAAGAAGGGCTAATTCTCTACGAAATCCCTGTATAGATTTTTGTCTGATGCGGGGGTTGCAAGTAGGGTGGCTGGAATCATTTGGAAATGTAATAAGGTTCCCTTGAAATCAAATTTTTTTTGTGGCAAATTTTTAACAACAAACTTCAGGTGGCCCATAGCTTGGCCAAAAGGGGGTGGAAAGGCAGTGACAGATGCTGTCTTTGTGGGGAGCTGGAATCAGTGAATCATATCTTTTTTGGGTGTTTAATGGCTAAACTAATTTGGGGTATTGTTAAGGAGGTGTTTCACCTTGTTACATATCCAAGATCGGTGGATCATTTTTCTGGGGTGTGGTTACAGGGCAAGAGGCTGTTACCTGTTAAACTTCTTATGCTTGTTTTTGCAGGTTTTAGTTGGGCTATTTGGACTACTGGAAACAAGATGGCAATTGAGAAGAGGTCTCCAAGGGCGCCAACTGATGTGGTATATGTTGCTTTGACTTTACTGCAGAAATGGAGTATTCTGCTAAAGGAGGTAGACGGGGAGCGAATTCTGAGTGTGAAGGAGGAGCTGCTCCAATGGATGAAGTCTTTCAAGCCTAGCGTGGTGGAGCTGTCGGACATCGGAGAAAATTAGGGCCTCTGTAGCTTGGCTTTATGTTCCCTGTTTTGTTAGCCTTGCTTTGAACTGCTTAGTGTTTGCCGAGGCTGTTATATGTTTGTATCAACTTAAACTGGTAACCCCAGTCTTGTATCAAACATGGTGCTTTCTTATAAGCAGAGGTCAAACTCTTTTTTAAAAACAAGTACGTGCTCGAATTAACAGAAACATGCGACACTATTGCAAGAAGAACATCATAACACAGGTTCAGAACTGTACTGATAATTAATAGGAATACAGAGAAGCTTTGAGCTTTTGAACTAACAGAAAAGCAGAGAGAGCAGAAATTCAGACAACTACTGAAGCATAACACAGATCCTATGTCAAAAGGAACGAAAGAGCTGCTGACCAAAAAGATGTAGGCAATGATTACTTAAATGATTTTACTACTGTATCATGAAACGGACTTGTCACAAATCTGAGAAAATAGACAGGCTGAGATTCTGCACTTACTCTGAAGCCATTGTCGATCTGCTTACCTGCTGTTCTTGCACAGACTAATTTGCAGAACAAATAAAACTGAGAGCAGAGCAAAGAAACAGCAGAACTGGGTGAATGCTGAGAAACTAAAAGAAGTGCAGGTCTGAAATAACGATACACAACTGCTTCTGCACGCTGAATGCGTTTCAGAAAAGATACAGGAGTACAGGGGAAAAACTGCGTACCTTAGAACTCAACAAAATTGAGTCAATCTCAAACCAAACGAAACAAGGGTTTTAATGCAGCTTCGACTCAACCTAGAAAGTTCATTTCACCAGGATCCATCGGCAAGATTAAAGCTTTTTTTTGCGAAAAACTCAAATCTCAGGAAAAACCTAGAAGGGGAGAAATTTGGGGGAAATTCAAATTCTTAGGTGCTCGTGAGAGGAATGGATCAATTGATCACCAAGAGGTCTTCCTCCTTGCCGGCGCCATTGCGCGTCATGGCGCCCAACGCGGAACGCGCACGCTCCTGGCCGGCCGCACAGCGCACCTCCTCGATTGCCACACATGCACACGCGCACGCTCCTGCATGGCCGCATCTTCCTCGCCACTACCTGCCTGCGCCGCTCGCTGTTCCCGCCGCCGATCCCCAAAACCATCTCCTTCCCCCGATTAGTCCAACCCACAGATCGGCGGTGGTAGGGACATACCTTTTCCATTTGAAATGCATGTGTGCAAAAAAAAAGGGTCTAATTCTCATCTCGAGGATGCCACTGTGATGAATAATTCTGATCACTGGTAACATATTTAATACCAGAAAGTAGTAGGAAGCAAAAATACCAACAATTACAAGATTCCACAAGATTACATACACACAAGAACTAACACTTTATCTTTATGTGCTAAGGATAACGTAACTGTATGAGCAGCAACCTCTTTTATATCATCCCTTTTTGGTAAATCAAAGTTGCAAACAACTGGTCGGCTTCAGGCCAAGTTCATAGAATCCTTATAATATGCAACCACCTCCACATCCAATCTTGCTTCACTAGAATGGCTATTGCAAATCCCACTCCGAATCCCACACCAACAAAGAGAAACAAAACAATGTCAAAGGAGTTTTGTGGATGCTCTTCAGTTTGAATATTTGTCGGAGTGCCACATGGCTTGGATAGAGGGGGTCCACAGAGTCCGACATTGCCATCAAATGAGCTATTCTGGAATGTCGTGAATTGATGCGATTGTGGTATCTGACCTACCAACTGGTTGTTGCTCAGGTTCAAGATGCTAAGGAAGGTGAGATCTGTCAACTCTTGTGGGATCTCACCTGATAGCATGTTTGAAGATAGGTCGAGAGACTCCAAAGCAGCGATGCTACCAAGTTGGGGAGGAGTTTCTTCACTGAGGGCATTGTGAGACAAGTTCAGTACATGTAGAGAACAAAGATTTCCAATTGACACAGGAATTCTACCTTCCAAAGCATTATCTGATATGTCTATTGCTGTTAAGGTAGTTAAGATCCTTTCAAATGTCACCATAGACCCTTTATATGATATTGTGACAGAGTCATGGTAAAATCCACTTGTTAGGATTCCATGGCCTATGATTTGTCCTGTATTGTTATACTTCTTCATTGATTTCAAATTTTCAAACCAATGTGGATGCAACTCACCAATGAGGCTAGGTCAATTATTTGCAAACTTGCGAATTGATCTCCCGATTTCTCATCTTCAAGAGAACCTATTGAACCATGGAACTGATTGGATCTCAAGACAAGGATACGAAGATTCAAAAGGCCCCCTAGCCAAGATGGAAATGTATCCGCAATTTTATTCCTTCCAAGGTCAAGAACCCCCAAGTCGGTGCAATGAGTGCTTTTGGAAGCTGACCTTCAATCTTATTGCCATGCAAATCTATTGTCTGGACAGAACATGCACTTGAAATATTGGAGGGTAACATCCCTTTGAATTGATTCTCCCCCAAATTTATTATTCTCAAAACTCCATTTTCCATCAGGCATGATGGTACTGTTGGCCCTCAGGATCACCGGCTCAAGTGAGTGAACCACTCACCAGTCTTGCCGAGCACCCACTAGCCGTGTCGACCACGAACAAGCGTTGTCCGTCCCCACACACTATGGCTAGAGCTAGAAGAAGAAGGGAGAACAGAGCATGCACACACAGTACAAAACACTAGCGTTGACCGAAGCCCTGTCTGGGAGATGGCAAATCTGAACTCTCTTTACTGAGTTGCCGTGGTAGTCTATTTATACAACTCTATCCATCTAGTCCCATTACAGCTGCCCTGCTGCAACAATGACTAGATAACATACAGGGCTGATTCTACGTCGGCCACTACATGTGCCTACAGTGCTGTAGGTGAGCAGTTCGGCGCCTGCACCTGCAGCGCCTACAGTATCACAACAGGGGGCCTTGTCGGCACCGCCTTCCCCTTGCTGTATTCACACAAGGTAGCAGTAGATTATCTAACAATCTTCCCCTAATCTTACAGCTAACCCTTGTACCCCCACCATGCCGATCATCTTCTTCAACTCCGTGAGTCGAAGACGTCCAAGCGGCTTGGTGAGGACGTCCGCGAGTTGCCGACCAGTTTCGACGAACTCGATGACGATCTGCCCTCCATCGACATAGTCCCTGAGGAAGTGGAACTTCGCATCGATGTGTTTACTCCGGTCGTGCAGAACCGGATTCTTCACGAGGGCGATGGTGGGCTGGTTGTCCACCATCAGTGCTGGTGGATGAGCTTCGACTCCGGTCAGCTCGCCCAACAGCCGGCGTAGCCACACAACTTGGCACGCCGCCGTGGCCGCCGCTACGTACTCTGCCTCGCACGTAGATAGCGCCACCACCTTCTGCTACAGCGACAGCCATGAAATTGGGGCCGACCAGAGGAAGACGAGCACGCCAGAGGTGCTTCGTCGCCCGTCGATGTCCCCCGCCATATCTGCATCGCTGAACACAGTGAGCTGCAGCCTACTCTTGCCGGTCTTTGGGAAGATGATCTCATGATCTACCATCCCCTTGACGTAGCGTAGTAGCCGCTTCACCATAGCCCAGTGATCCTCTCTGGGATCCTCCATGAAGCGACTGACGCAGCCCATGGCGAACGCAATCTCCTGCCTCGTGTGGACTAGGTACCGTAGACCGCCGACGATGCTCCGATAGAGTGTTGCATCCACCTTCGCCGCGGTGCTGGCCTTCGTCAGCTTCAGCCGCTCCTCCATCGGAGTCACGCATGGCTTGCACTCAGCCATGCCGCTCCTCTCCAACAGCTTAGAGGCATACGCGCTCTGACCGAGCGTGAGTTCCTCCTTCCCCTGTCTCACCTCGATGCCGGGGTAGTAGGAGAGTGCGCCGAGATCGCTCATTTAAAAATGAGCCACCATCTCGCGCTTGAAGTGTTGATATCCTCCGTGCGCGCGTCGGTGACGATTAAGTCATCCACATACACGCCGACGACGAGCTCCTCCTTCCCCTGTCGCCGCTTGTAGAGCGCATGCTCGGTTGCGCACCGTTGAAACCCAAGCTTGCCCAGCATGGCATCAAGCTTGGCGTTCCATGCTCGAGGGGCCTGCCGTAGCCCGTAGAGCGCCTTGCGCAGTCGGAGCACCCTGTGCTCCTCTCCCTTGACGGCGAAACCTGGAGGTTGCCTAACGAAGACCGTCTCCGCTAGTTCACCATTGAGGAAGGCCGATTTAACATCCAAGTGATGGACGCGCCAGTCCTTTGCTACTGCCAAGGCTAGTAGCAAACGGACCGACTCATGCGCGCTACTGGTGCAAAGACCTCCTCGAAGTCTATGCCCTCGCGCTGAACAAAGCCTCGGGCAACGAGGCACGCCTTGTGCTTGACAATGGCGCCGAGCTCGTCCCGCTTGACCTTGTACACCCACTTCAGGCGGATCGGACGGCATCCTGGAGGTGGATCGATGAGCTGCCAAGTCTCATTTTCCTCGATCGCCTTCATCTCCTCTAGCATCGCCCGTTGCCAGTTTCCATCCCGCTCGGCCAGCACGAACGTGGGTGGTTCCTCTGCACTGATGAGTAGCAGCTCTGCGTCATTGAGCAGCCGACCAGCTAGTCCTGAGGGTCCTGTGCCACCGACAATATCATCCAGCCTGCAGAACCGCACCTCCTCTCCTTAGTGGTAGGCGTCCACAAACTCAGTGATGTCACTTGGAGGTGAGGCGAACTCGATCGGCGTCGATGGAGTTCCGTGTTCCGTCGGAGTGCTCGTCACAGCACCTGGAGTGCTCGGCACCCTGGTTGCAGTGCTCGGCACTACTTCTGGATAGCTTGTCATAACTCCTGCAGTATTCGGCCACACTGTAGGAGTGCCTAGCATCAGTCTTGGAGTGGTCGGCACCACTGCAAGACATCTTGGCTCCGCTACGGGAGTGCTCGGCACCTGTCCTAGAGTGGTCGCCACCACTGCAGAACCTCCCGGCACCACTCCTGGCGTGCTCGGCATCCCTCCAAGAATGCTCGACACTCCTCCCGGAGTGCTCGTCATCCCACCCGAAGTGCTCGGCACTGCCCCAGGAGTGCTCGGCTCTACCACTAGAGTGCTCGACGCTCCTCCTGGAGTTCTTTGCACCTCTTCCCCATCGTCTCCACCACCATGGTGCTCGACGATGAAGGTGTTGGTGAAGTTGCCAGCTTCCCCCATGCTCGGACTGCTCTAGTCCCAAGCTACCTCCTTGTCGAACACGACGTCGCGCGAGACAAGCACCTTGTCTCCGCGTGGGTCGTAGAGCCGGTACGCCTTGGTACCCTCCGCGTAGCCTAGGAACACCATCGGTGTGCTCCTATCCTTTAGCTTGGTGAGGTTCGGCTTTGTCTTCCTAACGTGGCCGATGCAGCCGAATGTCCGAAGGAAGGACACGTTCGGCTTGCGCCCATACCAAGCTTCGAACGACGTCTTGCCCGTCAGGGCCTTGGTCGGAGTGCGGTTGAGGATGAACACCGCCGTGGTCACCGCCTCTCCCCAGAACCTTGCCGGCATGCCTTTGGCCTTCATCATGGATCGGGCCATGCCGACCACCGTCTGGTTCCACCGCTCCACCACGCCATTCTGTTGTGGCGAGTACGGCGCGGTGTGGTGTGGCCCCACACCCTGATCCATGCAGTACGCAGTGAACTCCACCGAAGTGAATTCACCACCGCGATCAGTCCTCAGCACGCGAAGCTTCTTGCCGCTCTCGGCCTCTGCGCGCATCTTGAACTTCTTGATCGTCGCCGCCGCTTCGTCCTTGCTCGTCAGGAGTTGCAGCCACATGTAGCGACTGCAATCATCCATGAGCAGGAGGAAGTACCGCCGACCACCGTTTGTAGCAGGCGTGATCGGCCCACAGAGGTCACCATGGACGAGCTCGAGAGCATCCCTCGTGCGAAACTTGGCCGCCTTTGGGAAAGGTAGCCTCCTCTGCTTCCCGGCCAGGCAGCTATCACACAGCTCGCCTCTGTGCTTGATGTGGGGTAGCCCTTAGACCATCTTCTCTAGCTGACCAAGCACGTCAAAGCTGAGATGTCCGAACCGGGCATGCCACATCCACGGTTCCTCAGAGTGCCTTGCCGCCAGGCACACCGGCTGCTCTACCTTTAGGTCGAGCAGGTACAACCGGTTCAAGGACCTCTTCACCTTGGCAAGAAGTCACTGCTCCCGGTCCCTGATCCTAAGGACTCCGTCCTTGATCAGTATCTCGCTACCGCGCTCATCCAGCTGACCAATACTAATGATGCTGGAACGTAGCTGCGGGATGTAGTATACATCTGGTAGCGCGCGGTGCTCCCCGTTCTGGCACCTGAAGATAATGGTGCCGCGCCCTTAGATAGCCACCCTTGAGCCATCACGAAACTTCACCGAACCGGTAACATCGTCGTCGAGCTCGGAGAAAGATTGCTTGGAGCCCGTCATGTGGTTACTGGCACCATAGTCTAGATACCACCTCTGCTCCTGATCGGCGTCCACACGTCCGAGGTGGACTTGGGCGCGTGGTTCGTCGAGGTTGACAGTCTTCAGGGCCTTCCTAGGTCCTTCCACTATCGCCGCTTCTTCTCTCTCCTCGGCCTCGACGTCGTGCAGTGCACAGAACGTCGCCATCAGGATAGTGGCCTCATCCTCATCGTCGGCTTCCGCCAGGTGAGCCTGAGCCTTCTTCTCCTGCTTGTGATTTGGGCACTCCCGTGCCCAATGGCCCATCTTCCCGCAATGCCGACAGGCGTTGGGGTCGACCTGCTTCTTCTCTGAAGAAGCCATGTTGCAGCGCTTGCCATCGCCACCGTGACTGGAGGAGGCTGCCTTCCCAGAGTTCCTCTGAGCAGCCCACTCCTCTTCTGTCAACAGGAGTTTCCCGCTGTCCTTCGTTGCTGTCTCATGCTTCAGGCGCTCGTCCACCGCCCGCAGACGGCCTGTCACATCCTCAATGGCGAGGGTGGACAAGTCTAGCATTGTCTCTATGGAGAGAGCGATCTGGATGTACTTTGCCGGCCTAGAGTGAAGATACTTGGAGATCGCCTCCTCTTCGTCGATGGTGACGCCATGGCTCTTCAGCTTGCTGATGAGCGTCTGCAGGTAGAGGGAGAAGTCCTCCACCGTTTCACCATCCTTGAACT